TTAAGGCCTACTTGAATAAGTGTTTTTCAATGAAGGACCTTGGAGAAGCTGCTTATATATTAGGCATCAAGATCTATAGAGATAGATCGAGACGCCTCATAGGTCTTTCACAAAGCACATACCTTGATAAGATTTTGAAAAGGTTCAAAATGGATCAGTCCAAGAAAGGGTTCTTGCCTATGTTACAAGGTGTGAGATTGAGCTCGGCTCAGTCACCGACCACGGCAAAAGATAAAGAAGAGATGAGTCTCATCCCCTATGCTTCGGCCATAGGATCTATTATGTATGCCATGCTGTGTACCAGACCTGATGTAAACCTTGCCGTGAGTTTGGTAGCAAGATACCAAGGTAATCCCGGCAAGGAACACTGGACAGCGGTCAAGAATATCCTGAAGTACCTGAAAAGGACAAAGGACATGTTTCTCATTTATGGAGGAGACGAAGAGCTCGTCGTAAAGGGTTACGTCGATGCTAGCTTCGACTCAGATCCGGATGACTCTAAGTCACAAACCGGATACGTGTATATGTTGAATGGTGGAGCAGTAAGCTGGTGCAGCTGCAAGCAGAGCGTCGTGGCAGGATCTACATGTGAAGCAGAGTACATGGCAGCCTCGGAGGCAGCGCATGAAGCTATTTGGGTGAAGGAGTTCATCACCGACCTAGGAGTCATACCCAATGCGTCGGGGCCGATCAAACTTTTCTGTGACAATACTGGAGCTATTGCCCTTGCGAAGGAGCCCAGATTTCACAAGAAGACCAGGCATATCAAGCGTCGTTTCAACTCCATCCGTGAAAATGTTCAAGATGGAGACATAGAAATTTGCAAAGTATATACGGATCTGAATGTCGCAGATCCGTTGACTAAACCTCTCTCGCGAGCGAAACATGATCAACACCAGAACTCTATGGGTGTTCGATTCATCACAATGTAACTACATTATTGACTCTAGTGCAAGTGGGAGACTATTGGAAATATGCCCTAGAGGCAATAATAAAAGTATTATTATTATATTTCTTTGTTCATGATAATAGTCTTTTATTCATGCTATAACTGTATTATCCGGAAATCGTAATACACATGTGAATACATAGACCACAATATGTCCCTAGTGAGCCTCTAGTTGACTAGCTCGTTGTGATCAACAGATAGTCATGGTTTCCTGGCTATGGACATTGGATGTCGTTGATAACGGGATCACATCATTAGGAGAATGATGTGATGGACAAGACCCAATCTTAAGCATAGCACAAAGGTCGGTTAGTTCGTTTGCTAGAGCTTTTCCAATGTCAAGTATCTCTTCCTTCGACCATGAGATCGTGTAACTCCCGGATACCGTAGGAGTGCTTTGGGTGTACCAAACGTCACAACGTAACTGGGTGATTATAAAGGTGCACTACAGGTATCTCCGAAAGTGTCTGTTGGGTTGACACGGATCGAGACTGGGATTTGTCACTCCGTATGACGGAGAGGTATCTCTGGGCCCACTCGGTAATGCATCATCATAATGAGCTCAAGGTGACCAAGTGTTTGGTCACGGGATCATGCATTACGGTACGAGTAAAGTGACTTGCCGGTAACGAGACTGAACAAGGTATTGGGATACCGACGATCGGGTCTCGGGCAAGTAACGTACCGATTGACAAAGGGAATTGTATACGGGGTTTGATCGAATCCTCGACATCGTGGTTCATCCGATGACAACATCGAGGAGCATGTGGGAGCCAACATGGGTATCCAGATCCCGCTGTTGGTTATTGACCTGAGGTCGTCTCGGTCATGTCTGCATGTCTCCCGAACCCGTAGGGTCTACACACTTAAGGTTTGGTGACGCTAGGGTTATCAGGAAGACAAGTATGTGATTACCGAATGTTGTTCGGAGTCCCGTATGAGATCCCGGACGTCATGAGGAGTCCCGGAATGGTCCGGAGGTAAAGTTTTATATATGGGAAGTTGTTAAACGGGCACCGGAAAGTTTCGGGGTCATACCGGTATTGTACCGGGACCACCGGAAAGGTTCCGGGGGTCCACCGGGAGGGACCACCCCTCCCGAGGGGCCACTTGGGCTGCTGAGGGATAGCAGCCAGCCCCTAGTGGGCTTGGCGCCCCCCCCCCTTTGGGCCCATGCGCCTAGGGTTGGGGGGGAAACCCTAAAGGGGGCGCACCCCCCTTTGCTTGGGGGGCAAGCCCCCCACCCTTTGGCCGCCGCCCCCCTCTAGGGTTTCCCCTAGAGGATCGGCCCCCCTTGCCCCTCTCCTCCTATATATAGAGGGGTGAGGGGAGGGCTGCTGAACACCACAACTCAAGGCGCAGCCCCTCCCCTCCCCAACACCTCTCCTCCTCCGTACGTGCTCGGCGAAGCTCTGTCGGAATACTGCTGCACCAACTGCACCACGCCGTCGTGCTTCCCTTGGAGCTGCCTTCCTCAACCTCTCCTTCCTCCTTGCTGGATCAAGACGGAGGAGACGTCGACCGTCCCGTACGTGTGTTGAACGCGGAGGTGCTGTCCGTTCAGCACTTGGTCATCGGTGATCCGAATCACGACGAGTACGACTCCATCATCACCATCCCCTTGAACGCTTCCGCACTCGATCTACAAGTGGTATGTAGATGCAAACTCTTCCCCTTGACTCGTTGCTTAGATGAACTCATAGATGGATCTTGGTGAAACCGTAGGAAAAATTTTAATTTTCTGCAACGTTCCCCAACAAGAACCGCAAGCTCCACCACCATGCCATCGTGCTACCAGAGCTCTTCCTCAACTTCTCCTCTCCCCTTGCTGGATCAAGAAGGAGGAGACGTCCCCGGGCTGTACGTGTGTTGAACGCGGAGGCGCCGTTGTTCGGCGCTTAGATCGGAATCAACCGCGATCTAAATCGCTGCGAGTACGACTCCTTCATCCGCATTCTTGTAACGCTTCCGTTTCGCGATCTTCAAGGGTATGAAGATGCACTCCCCCTCTCTCGTTTCTACTATCTCCTAGATTGATCTTGGTGACACGTAGGAAATTTTTAAATTATTTCTACGATCCCAACAATGGGGGCTCCCTTCTTAACGGTCTATAATGACACCGCCGCCAAGACTTCTTTGTCGCCACCCATCAACCACAATTAGTCTTGGGAGATGGTAGACCTCTCGCTTTTTGGTATCTTGATGCCGGGGGGTGTATGGGTCTAGACTAGCTTTGCGCCAGGAGTGTATTTTCTTGTGTTACATTGACCAACTACTTTGCTTCCTATCTTATTGGCATGTAATATATAAGTCTCCTGTGGTCACCTAAACATGTGTGCTACTTTTGCATTTACGTTTCATGTTTATGATTTACTGCATCTTTTGAGGTCATTGACATGTACATTGCGATTGTTTGTGCGTTAGTAATGAGCATATATATTATTTTATGGTTTTTATTATTTATGCCACTGGTTGTATCTCACTACTCAGTTTTGTCACTAGGAATTTCAACTGCTAAAAAATGCCATCTTCGTTAGGTGATGCTCAAGAATGCCACTCGACACCATGATTGTCAGCTCAAATCTCGTTTGCCATGTCATAATGACCAAAATACCTATAGATCAACATGTCAGCTCCCCCTCTTATCTCAGTACAATAAAGTGTGGGTCCCACTTGATCCCAATAGCGTTCTTATTTCCTCTAAAATTATTCGCTTGCTTACTCCTAACAAATGGGGTCCACACTTGTCATTGTGGGATAGAGAGAGCTGACATGTGGGTATAGGGGTATTTTTGTCATATAACATGGTCAACGAGTTTGACCTGACAATGACGATGTCTAATAGCATTTCTGAGCAAACATCTAATGGAACGATGACATGTTTGAGATATCTAATGGCATTTTTGAGAAAACATCTCATGGAACGATGGCATTTTTGAGCAGTTGTAATTTCTAATGGCAAAACTGAGTAGTGAGACACAACTAGTGGCATAAATGATAAAAACCCATTTTTTTTATTCTCTATGCACTCCACCGGATTTGCACACTATAGAAGAGTTTCTAATATACCCAAATGATCATGCATTTACATTCCATAAGAAAATTATTAATAATGCACAAATTTAAAGGGAGCTCTTGTATAGCACATGATTCTCAAGATCATGATTACATTTTGTGCGAAGATTTGATCTATATTGTAATCAATTACCAAAATGAGGAAGATTGAAAGTGCATCCTAATCCCCTAGATGGATTTTGTTAATTAATGTCACCATGCGCCTCAATGGACTTGATGGAATGGACGTGAGTGAGTTTTCTTTCAACCACCCCCAGTTGCTAAGGCCCGCATGGATAGAATTGGGCCAAACAAGTCTCCTCCCCATTGTTGATGATGTGGCAAAGTGACAGGTCGCACATAGAAAGAAATGAGCCATGGGAGGCGACAACGAGGTGAAGACTTGACAAATACTTAGGCTATCGTCGCGCAGGGGCTTTAGTCCAATTTCTTCCCTGGAGTTGGTGGTACATCCATAATTTGAACAGGAGATGGATAGTGGCACAAACCTAATTTTTCCTTCTTTTTTCTGCACATCATAGTAATCTATATAAGGTTAGAACAAAAATTACAGACACACACTTCGTACACCGATGTACATGTAAAAGAAATTCGTAGTTTCCCAAAATATGAAAGCGAACAAAAGCAACCACTTTTTGTTCAAAAAAAAACCAGTTAGGTGGACAGTACATTTTCCGACTACAGAGCACTCATTGGGTTCACTGCTTCGTTCGACTGAAATCATTGGGATAGTCAAGACAGAAGCATAGAGCACTATAACAGAATTCTACCGACCCATTGGCTGTTGATATCAAACAGCATATTCCTCGCATTTGTTTGACCATATTGGTCACATTACAGTGAACATAAAATGTGCCAGCATTCTTTACTCAAACACATTAAGAAAATGCTTGTTTAAGTGTAGTGACAGTAGGTAGGTTACATCTGTGATTGCATTGCACGTTCAGATATGTACAGCAACAAGCTAGTGCTAGGGCTACTCTGCTGACGCGATGTGTTGCAGCATGAACGACCTTGTCTTGCCATCTGGTGTTAGCCCAATGCTCCGCATTTTTGTGTACACCCTCCTGGCTAATCTGATCTTGCCACGCAAACAAAGCCCGTGTATGACCGTGTTGTAGATCGAAGAATCTGGAGCGACCTCCTGCAATGTTCAGAAACTTTCAGTATGGAAATGAATGGTGATTCTAAAGAACCGAGTTTGACAAAATCAAAAACATGAGCGCCAAATCTCAAACAGTTAGCTTAAATGGTTACATATATGACAGTTACTGCTGATATCCAGTATGCATAGCCAAAATGTCGAGTCTAAACTTCATTAAAGGTTTAATTCAATTGTAGCTTGCGACCATGCAATCTATCAGTTCTTTTAGGCTAGCAAATGTGAATGCCAAAAAGTCAAGTAGAAAATAAAGCCATGTGTGCCGAAGTGAATTTCATTTGTGCAAAGAACAGAAGTCCACTTGGAACAACAAATTCAGAAATATAAGCACTCACACAGTTATGTGCGAGAGGACTTCCTTTCATATTGCGAATGAAGACTAAGAAAATCAAAGCCTAGGCAAGAAGCTATTTAAGATTTTCATTTGATATAACCCATACTCCTGAAACTTGCTGCTCACTCTCAGTATGGAAGAACCTTACTACAGCAGACAACAGACTTATATCTCAGCTTAACAGTGTTGATTTTCTTAGTCAATTGACCCTGGAGATTGCAACTTTTCCATAATGGTAATGTAACTTTGAAGAATTGAGAATTGAAGCACCAAATGTTTAGATACTAGAACACTAGAGTAGTCCATAGTAATGCTATGGAAAATTCAAAATCATTACCAGCTAGCTCAACAGAAATAAAACAACAAAGAACAAAATAGTACCTCCAGTATATCCTCTACTTCGTCCCAAAGAGATCCCCAAATGCAAGCTCTTATAACAGATAAATGCGTGAATGTGTCCGGTGAGCACCTCTCATGAGTCATACGCCGGTACACTTTCAGAGCGACTTTTGGCTCACAAGCAACCTCACAAGCACGTATCACGTGATTGTAAGAGACCGCTGAAATTTGCAGTCCGCTTTTTTCCATCATCCACAGCAATTGCAAAGCATGCTCCCACTGACCAAGTCTTTCACAAGACATCAAAGCTATGTTGTAGAGATGACTGTTTAAGACAGACGGATTCTTGGATTTAATTCCTTGGAAAAGCTCTAGGGCGTCCCAGCATCGACCAGACCTATACAGTGCTGACAGCAATGCGCTCCATGTATATTGATCAGGCTCAAGTCCTGAAGATGTTAGAAGATGGTACATCCTAAAGGCGAGCTCGTCTTCACCAGCTTTCCCAAGTGAGTTGATAACCGAATTAAACACAATGATATTGGGCTTCATGCCAGCACTCAACATTCTCCTAAATGTGGCCAGCGCAAACTCCCACCTCCCTTCTTTGGTGCACGAGGCAATGATGGCCTTCATTATGTCTTCACTTGGATCAAGCCCCCCGCGGAGCATTTCCTCATAAGCAGCAATTGCTAACTCAGACTGTCCACATTGCACAAATGTGCTAACCAACAGATCGTAAGTCATCAAGGTTCCACTCAAAGAGTTCTCCGCTAGCCTTCCCCACAGTTTCTCCACTTGCCTCCAGTCTTTCGCTCTTCCGCACGCAGATATCATAGTGTTGTAAACAATCACATCAAGGGTTTCCCTCGATTCATTGCACTCTTCAATCTCACTGAACATTTGCAAGGCAGAGATATAGCCCTCGGTCCTGGCAACAGCCTTGAGTATCAAGGTGTATGTATGGCCAGTTGCCAACCCTTTCCCCTTCATGAACTCATACATCTTCATCGCGTCCACGGAGGAACCTCTGCGGACAAAACTGGCCAAAAGGGAGTTACAGGCGTGCGCGTTGGGCTGAAGGCCTGACGCAAGCATTGAATCAAACAGCTCTATGGCACTCCTGACCTTGTTGGATTGGCTCAGCTTCATCAGCCTTCTGGACAGCAGTTCCTCGTTCCTCTCTTCTAGGAAGTGCAGCCTTGATCCCTCATGCTCGAATTTATCCGCCGGCTCTGAAGCTGACGCTGATGGCACGCTTCTCGCGCCCACAGGGTCCTTCTCCACGGCAGCCGGCCTCGCCGGACGCCGCCGGAGCCCGTGCCTCTGGTGGTAATCGAAACCAGCAGCACCAGGTCGCTCGTCCTCCACGCCCCGGATCCCCAGGCCGGCCTCTTCCTTGCCGGTGACATCAGATTCGAGGACGCACGGGGCCGCTCTGCAAACACACGCCCCTCTCGCCGTCACCGTGCCGCCGCTTACCGGACGGGCGTCACCTCTGCTCCGGCCGCCGGTCGCTGGACGGACTCTCGTGCCCTGGCCGCCCTTCACGCTACGGCGAGGCAGCTCCTGGCTGAAGGAACCGCAGCTTGTGCTGCAGCCGCTCCAAACCGCAGCCATACCCGCGCCAAATGCAAATGGGATACAGGGCTTCCAATCACCAGAGTCGAGCAGTGGACGGAGCACCTTGGGCAGACCCGGCAGCCGCGCCCACCGCGCTGGCGAACCTCCGGCCGGAAGGGCTCGCAGCGCCGCCGCGCCGAGAATGAATCCGCGCTAGGGCTCAGAGAAAAGGTTGACGTCGATGTGCGTAGCTTGGGTGATGGGTGGAGATGAAGCTGCGGGAATGGAGGGGAATCAATCGAAGCCGAGGCCTCGCCGTCCCAACAGAGAAGCTCGCGCGCGAGGCGCCTCCGGTGAGGAGGCGGAGAAGGGGGAGTGTGCCTTATCCCCTTTTCCGTTTCTCTATCTCGCTTTACAGTGGGCCCCCCCGAACATATATCTTCCTTTTACCTCGGGTTTCTTTTGATTCCATTTCAAACATAGGAGTAGAATTTGAAGTTCTCTAACACTGCGTTTGGTTCCATTTCAAACGAGGTTCTGAATTGGATTTGGTATCCCCTAAATTCCAATTCGGTTGCATGGCATGCGCACTGAAACAGTCGTCGGAAATCACATAAATACAGGGACGAAATCGTTTGCACGCACGGAGTTTCCGAGCCCTTCGGCTTTGATTTGGCTGAAAATCTCCCCTTCCGCAAAAGGTAACGGTTCGCTCCTTCTTTTCCCCCACTCCGCCGCTTGACCTGGAAAAGAGGAGGCGCCAAGCCAGCCGGCGACGGCGCCTTGGGACCTCTCCTCGTCGGCCCTCCTCCTCCTCCTCCTCCTACTACTACTACTCCGGCACATGCATCCCCGTTGCCGCAGCTCGTTCTCTTCATCCCTTTGGTTGTCCCATCTCCTCTGTCGCCCCAGCTCCTCCATGGACGCCACGACCTAGTCCTAGTCTTCTGCCGCCGCTCCTCCTCCTCTACCCCTGCTCCGGCGTCCCTCCCATGCCACCAGGCCCTCTCCTCCTCAGCCTTCAGTTCCCATCTCCTATGCTCGTTGCCATCTCCTCTGCCGCCAGATCCCTTCCTATGCCCTCTCCTTCTTCCCCTTCCATTGCTCCACTTCTCCCTCTTTCTTTCCCAGACAATTCAAGTAGTTTGTCAGCACCCGAGTTTATCATATTTCCCCACTCCTTTTTGAAATCTGTTTTGTACAAGTGTTCTTCTTTGGTGAAATCTGCAACTTTTGTTTTGTACTCTGTTCTACATAGTTCTGTACAAGTTACTTCCTGTAATTGCTCACTCGAGAGGTCATGGTTAGTTCAGGTGGAGAGACGATAAAATGCTCGCGTACAGATGGAGATTCATTCAATAGTCACACATTGTACAAACATTGATTTGATGCAAAAAGAACAAAGCACTATGTAATTCCATAGTTTGCCATCCAAACAGGATTTGGTATTGAAACCTCACCAAGATTCCATGAGCCAATTCAATGAGCATCCAAACAAGCGAATTTGTATTCATGTCCATTACAATTTCCTTGTTGAATTGGTATTGAAACCAATTCAATACGAAGGCTTCCAATACAGACATCCAAACACAGCGTAAGAAGGCTTTATATCTAGGGTTAATTAGATAAATGCCACTCCAATTATGGCGATTCATAAAAATGCCATTGCAATTTCCAAACTTTGAAAAATGCCACTGCAAATTTTGCAATCTTTGAAGAACACCACTGCAGACTTCGAAAAATGCCACTGGAAGTGGCATGAAATGGCATTTTTCAAAGTTTGGAAATTGCGGTGGCATTTCTCAGAATCGTCATAATTGGAGTGGCATTTATCAAATTAACCCTTATATCTACTATTTCTCTAGAACAAATACATTGAGATATTTGGAATCTGCCATAGTACATGCAATTGTAATTATATTAAATTCGAACCGAAGCTTGCCCCGAATGGATAGGGAAACGAGGTGGACAATGTGGTAGCGGCAATGGCACGGAAGCTGAGGGAGGCAATTACTGATGTTATTTGTTTGCGAGCCGGAGTCGCCGGTCAAGGTAGATGTCATCTTCAGAGTGGTTAGACTCATTGAAGTGATGACTTGTCGGCCACCGAAAGTGGGATTACCATGGACGGAGATAGGACCAACGATGGCTACAACTTAGGTAGGAAAAGGATGACGAGAGGTTGCCATGTTGTTCACCACGACCGAGGAAGACTATTGATGGGATAAGGTCGAGTGGGAGCTATCGAAAGGTATGTCAAAGCCAAGAGTGGGTTGAGAAAATATAAAGCTCCTCTTTGCATCGCGGCGACGTCCCGCCTTATCTGGTAGTTGTGGTTATGAAAACACCGGCTTTGTCTTCAATGGTGACATCCCATCACTCTGAAACCTTTGTGCATCTTCGCTTATTCCTATAGATTTAAGAGCCTCTCAATATCTCCATATATATTGTAAGATTCCAAACTTTGAAAACTTGTACAGCCATGACAAAATATCATCCAATAAATGTCCCTCGTCTAGTAAACTTTGAATGCATAGCAATTTGTACCATACTTGATGAAAGAAAAACTATACAGCTTGTCCAAGCACTGAAGCACGCCACCTATCCGAACTTCTCCAACAAACAACTTCAAAGTCCTTGGATAGTATATAGTATCCAAACCTTTCCCTCGACGGCTAGAGAAACTCTCCCTTCCAAGCTTCATCGAAAAGTCTGTGGATTCGCCTCCACTTTGCTTGACGCTTTGATGTCCCATCGCTGGGAGGGGAATCTCGATGCCTCCGCTTCTCTAGTAGTTTGGGTTAGGGTTTTTTAGCGCTTCTTCTTTGAGTTTGTCTTCCAAACTCCGGTCCTCCTCAAGTTCGTCTCGTGAATGTAGTCCACTAAGCTCCGATGCAGATTCCTATTGTTAGGGATACAATGGGAAAAACAACACAACGAAGAATGAAAACAAGCAGGAGACACAAGATTTAACGTGGAAAACTCCTCCAACACGAAGAGGAAAAAACCACGGGCGCCAACCAGCAAAACTTCACTATATCGGGGGAGGTTACAAACGTCGGTGAATTTACAACTGATCAACTCATCCCCTGCGGCGGTTTACAAAGGATATATTTAACATAGGTGACCTAAGTCAATACTGATATGTAGACCCAAGCCTACTGGCGACGGGCCTCGCTGCTGGTCAGTAGTTAGCCTTTATCTTTACACTTGAATTTGGATCATAGCATAACACCTATTGTCTCCTTGAGGTGATGAGGTTAGGGTTTCTCGTCACACGTGTGTGATGGCGAGATTTGGTGTCAAATGCTTCAGATTTATTCAAGGGTTCAACGGCGATGATTACGGCTCTAGGGCGTCGACCCTTTACTTTGGCTTAAGGTGGTTTGAAGAAGTTATATAGTGTCTGAAGCCTAGCGTCACGTCAAGTCACTCCTGCTGATTTTGAACTACCCTTGAAATCTTGGACGAGAATATGTAGGCTAGTGTGATATTGCTAAAACTTACTGTCTACTATAACGAGTTTTGCCCGGCTCCAGCGAGGAAGGGGCCATGATGGCGGCGCTCTTCTGCTCGCTCCAGTGATTGTAGTCGTCGCTAGTGGTCCACGGACCTGGTTGAAATTTTTATTACCTCTAGTGTTCTTTGTACTGTCATGATTGAAGATGAATAGATAGGAAATTTTATGCAAAAAGAATATATTGCTAAATTTTTTACGTAGTCAAAAACGTCAAAATTAGATGGGACCCACCACAAAATTAGAAGTTGCTAAATTCTCTATTCTTTCTCCTCATGGGCATTGGGGTTGTCACCTTTCCACTTCCACCCTAGGTGAGGGGTGGTAGCATGCATGGCATCAATATCTTTGGATTTGGCCTCAGCGTACAGAGCTGCTCCGCTCCTGCATCCCTAATCCAAGGACTTTGAACTTGCTTCTCCGGTAAGTTTAGATAGGTAATCTGCTCGGACGAGTTGCAAAGAGCTCGCTTCCCGACTACAGTATGAACTGTCGCGCATTCGAACTCTGCTATGCGGAGGGGGGGGGGGGTATTTGATGATATGTTACTATGGTGTACAAAGTTTAGAAATTGCTGATGACAATTGTCAGTGTGTATCATGAGCTAATTTCATCTCCTACTTGCAAAATAAAAATATCAGAATGACTTACAAGGGCATTAAATGTCGTGGACTCGATTCCTCCATGGAATCTCACAACCGTGATCTTTTAAGATCGAAGTCTTCCATCATCGTGGACGTACAATATCACCATCTATTGGAACCACAGGTCAAAAACCTTTCGTGTCACCACTGCGTTTCGAATCTCCTAAACTCTACTCCTTACATTCTTGCGCTTGCATATTTTTTACATTCCACTGTCTATACTCTAGAAATGCATGTGTAAGGTGTGCTTGTACTACCCTAGCCTTTGCCAAAATCTACCTAAATGCCAAACATGTTAAAATTGGTCACTAGCTCGCGCTAGTTGTCTATTCACCCCCCCCCCCCACCCCCTCCCCCCTCTAGACACTCCTTTGGATCCTAGAGAGGTGGTATCATTGGCCTCAGCGCACAGAGCAGAGCTGCTCCGCTCCTGCATCCCTAATCCAAAGACTTCGAACTTGCTTGTCGGATAAGTTTAGATAGGTAATCTGCTGGGACGAGTTGCAAAGAGCTCGTTTTCCGACTATACTATGAATTGTCGTGTGATATTTTACTACGGTTATACAAAGTTTAGAGATTGTTGATGACAATTGGCAGTGTATCTTAATCTAATTTCATCTCCTACTTAAAAAGTAAAAATATGAAGAACTTACAAGGGTACATCAACTGTCGTGACTTGTCGCTTTTCTTTTGGTCTACTGGTCGTGTGCGTGCATCGTCTGGTGCAAAGGTGACGAGAGTTTGCTCTGCATTTTGTAACCTGGTAGCTCTTTTTCGAGAACAAAATCTTGGAAGTTGGAAATCGGAGCCCCTTCTTCGGACAGAAGGTACTAAAGAAAGGATCCTACCGCACTAAAGAAAGAGCAGAGTGGCAAATCTAGCATCCATGGAACAGA